AAAATAATTAATTCATAAACTAAATTTAGGGATACTACAAATTGATTTTAAATTGAACTTTATAGATATTTGGATAATATTTCACTATAATATTTAAATTTGGTTTTGGTGGGTTTCTAATTAAAAAAAATATTTATGAATAGTTTTTGTGAACATGATTGGGACACCAAATTTAACATATCACTATAATTTGAAAAACCCCACATCAAGTTTAAATTGAAGAATTTTTCTCGCAGTAAAAGTGCTAAGCAAAAGAACAAAATCTTTTATAAATTTCTCAAAAGAAATAGCACAGCGGGTCATCCAATGTATCCTCAAAAGGATTATATTTCTAAAATAAAAATTAAAAAAATATTATTATCAAATCTTTTATTTATATTTGAATTGAGAAAAATATATGGATTGAGTGGAGTTAAAAAATATTCCTTAAAAATAGAAGTAATCTAATGATTTATGGATCCATCATTCCCATTCAATATTCCCTTCGTTTAAAAATGTAAAGCATTTTTAACTGAATCTCACCCCTTAATAAAGTAATTATCTACTTTTAAATTAAACTTATCTTTTCATATTCACCATATTAAATACTTTACAATAAATAAAAATTTATTATCAATAGGGCCAATTTAAAAAAATAATAATTATATTTTAAAAAATTAAAAATATTTTATATTTTTGAACATCCAACTCCTTAAAAAATGCTTTACATTTTTGAATGAAAAGAGTATGTTATTGGACAAATTGTTCATTGACAAGACAAAATAATTAAATGAATATGGTCGGTCACTTAGAGTCACATTTTTGTGATTTGTGTATTGCTAATCCCATTAAAATTTAAGAAAAGACTGCGTGATTAAATATAACATGTCAAGTTTAAAAACTTCCCCGTTAGCGGCTTTAGCTTCTTTATTTTTGGGTGTAACCCAAGCATGAAATTCGCACCTCCTTGTTGCATATGGTGCATATAGCTTGCTAGAATTCTTGTCTAAGTTTGATATTTTGATGGATACTCTCTGATTGCATAAGCAGGTCATATTTCGATATCTTAACTATTGCTTTATGCTACTCTAACCCACGCTCAAAGAAGCCATAAAATCCATAAATGAAACTATAAATTAGCAAAAACTAACAACTAAAGTTATCAATCATATACTGTATACCCATTTATGTTTAAACGCTGATCTAACCAATGTTTTAAGAGTCAAACAATAAAAAAGAGTACAATTTTCTCATCATTCAGAACCCATCATTGCTTTGCCTTGTTGGAACATCCTCAAATTCCTCTAATCTATATTTAAAAGACAACGTCACGCCTTTAGATGTAAAGGAAGATTATCTAAACTCCACTATCTAAATAACGTGACTCTAATGGTTCAAAACGACACTTACTTCCATATGTTTTTACCTTTTACTTAGGAAGTCTATTTAGTGGATGCAGGTGCGTTGAAATAGGACACGTTGCTTTATCTTGACATGATAAATGCATGCTTCAATGAACCATCTATTTGTTAAATTCAAATGATTGTTTAACCCAAAAAAGAATAGAAGGTATATATAAGTACCGGCTTTGACTCATTCGAAGTTGCTTTTGCTAATTTTCAGTCATGTGACTGAAGAATAATGCAAAGGACATGTACTGATGGGGGAAAAAAAAAAGAATGTGGGCGCAATTGAAGCATGAAATTCAACCACAAATCAATTGTAGAGCATTGAAACAATTATGCACTTGTTGAACAACAACAAATCTATAATGGAAAGAATCATAACATACCAGAAGAAAAATACTGCTTGAGAAAACAAATAGGGAAGAGAGGGAAAATTGTTAAGAGTTGCAGGAAAGGGAAGAAGAAAAGGAAGAGGAAGGAAAGGAAAATTTCACAACCCGTTACATAATTTGAGATCTTGACCTCATGGAAAAGCAATTTGCATTAAATATAAGAAAATAGGAGATGGTTTGTAACCATTTAAGAGGACAATTGTAACAGCCCTCCTCGGCATCTCACTGTCACCCGAAGCACTGGACACTCTCCCTCCAAGCCTCACAATAGGGCGACCCCACCCCTTTCGGTGAGTATCAGGAGACAAAGGCTTTCCTGCAGTAGTGTGCAGGATTATTTTCCTTGCGGAGAGCCTCCCTAGGTTTGATCCTCTAACCTCTCCTACATAACAAAGTTGAGACTGAACCTAGTACCATTGAGTCTCCTGATGCCTACCGAAAGGGGTGGGGTCGCCCTGTTGTGAGGCCTGGGAGGAGAGTATCTAGCGCCGCAAAAGACCTCGGAGAGGTGGGGTGAGCGGAGGGCTGTTACAACAATGGGATGTAGTTTTTGATAATTTTAAAAATAATTATTTTTAAATTTAAAATTATAAATAAGTTAATGGGAAGTTGAGATGATAGAGAAATATTTGGAGGTGAGCTAATTTTATATTTTTATTTTTCAAATAAGAGTGGACATTTGTCATAAGATCTTGACTTTATGAAAAAGTAGTTGTTCATTAAATTAAATATATAAGAAAATGTGAAGTGGTTTTTTACAGTTAAAAAAAATAATAGAAGGTAGCTTTTCACCGTTTTAAAGATATTTATTTACAAAACTAAAATTTGAAATTATGAATAAATGTGAAGTTGAGATATTGAAGAAATAATTTGGGATGTGAAATTTTTTTATTTAAAAAATAAAAGTAACACATGTCATTGTGAGAGAGCTCTTGGTTCTACTTTTACATGTTTAGATAAGATATAGATTAAAATTTTAAATTTCATTTGTTATATTTAAATTAAAATTATTAAACTATGAATAAGTCTAGATTCTAATTCCACTCAGGAACTGTTGGATGATATGAGTTTCTTACATTTACCTCAAATCGCTCAATCTTACCATGAATGCTTATCTGCTGTGCCATCTCTTGAAGAGGTTAAACATGATGTCTTTAGTTTATCAGTTTATCTAAATATAGTGCACCTGGACCAGCAGGATATCACACTCACTTCTTTCAAAAATATTGGGATTTGGTTGGTCAAGATCTTCTTGACATGGTGCAACACTTGTGAGAAGTGGAGAAACAAACTTTTTGTGTGATACATGATTCATCTGTCTTTAATGTTTTAATTTTTAAATAGTCCACTGAAGAAACAAATATCTTTTCGAGCTTATGTCTGGACTTTGGTGGATCGTCAATTATTGCTCATCTAATAAGAGGAGATTAAGATCTGCTGCGTCAAGAAAGACTTTGTTGGCTCTAAATCAATCAAAAGGCAAACTCCCAATCCTATCATTCAAGATCTTTATGGATTGCTATTGAGGCTGACCTATTTTATTATATTTGCAGCTTCTCACCTTAGTTTTTTACTTCAATCAAGAGGATATGACATTTGCATGTAATTATTTAACTTTTGTCTCTTTTTAATACATATTAGTTTGATTTTCCACAAAAAATATTTTTAAAATAAATAAAGCAAAATAAAATTAGAGACACATGTCATTTTCAATTATGATTACATATTTTTCTTATTATTTTAAAATTAAAAATTTTGAAATTATAAATAAATAAGTTAATGAGAAGTTAAGATAATGAAGAGATATTTGGTGGTGATGTGGTTTTATTTATCAAAAAATAATGTAAAATAGAATTAGAGACACCTTACGTTATCGGATGTTGCTTGTGATACATAATTTTCTTATAATTTTTAAATTAAAAATTAAAATATAAATAAATAAGTTAATGGAAAGTTGGAATAATTTCCTTATTATTTTTAAATTAAAATTTTATTTATTATTTTTAAATTAAAATTTTGAAATTATGATGAATAAGTAGATGGGAAGTTGACATAGCCAGGAGATATTTGATAATAAGATAGTTTTATTTATTTTTAAATTAAATAAAGCAAACAAAATTAGGTACATGTGTTGTCATCAGATATCACTTATGATTTTACTATTTATATATATATATATATATATATATTTCAGATATCTCTCTTCTATTTTAAAAATCAGCTAAAATATTTCTTTATTTTTTTAATTTTTTACAAGTTTTCATGTTAGTCCCTTTTTAAATACACCCATCTAATCCTATTTTTAAATCATTTTAAACATATTTTTTGAAATCAAGAAAATTTTTAAAATTTATTAACTCTTATTTGAAAATTTAATAAGTTTTAAACTTTACCCCTATCAAATATATATACTTTAATAACATGTTTTTTTTTCTCTAACATTAAATGAAAGTTAAAAGAAAAAAAATTGTTATGAAAATTTAATTGTGTGACTTATAAATAGGATAAAAAATATTTTCTTTTTACTCTATAAATAGGATCAAAGGGACTAAGTGTTATTTAAAAATCATTCAAATTACCCTCAAAAAATTTAAATCATATATTCTTTTAAAGTTGAAATTAAAATTAAAGAATATTATTCTATAATTTATTATCATTTACGTATAAAATTAATTTGTCACTTATTTTTATATTTTACTCTACATTTTATTATCTTATATATACAAAATTAAAAGTAACAAAATATTTTATTCAAAATTTGTTATTTTGATTAATTTAATTTAATTTTCATTTCAAGTAAATTAGATTTTGAAGTAAAACTTATTAGATTACCTACATACTTTTTATATTCCGTCTAAATAAAATTTATAATTTCACTATATATATAATAGTTTTTTTTATTATCTGCCACAAATTTTTACTATCTCACATGATTTTTAAAATTGAAAAAAAAAAATCATATTCTTTTTACATCTTATCTAATTTTTACATTTATAAATAAAAATATACATGGCAAAAAATTTTCATCCAATGTAAATAAATTTTATTAATTAAATTATGGGTCCTAAATTGACCTTACTTTTCTCAAATGATAAGTCCCATACTCAATTTTTTTAATGGGTCCTACATCTATATTTTTTTAACAAAATACTCATCAATTAATTTTTTAATCAAATTTAAACAAAAACATTAGTGAACTATGCCATTCAAAATATTGTAAATCTGCTTTGATATTGTGTTTACCATATATATTGACATTGACATTGACATTGATGATATTAAATTGACTGATGGCCATGAGGGTGAAAAAAGTAAATTAACCTAGTACCACTATTTTAATGGTTTTACAGAACACAGCAAAAAAAAACGTTGGCATCCTGATGCTACAAACTCGGTAATATCTAAACTAAACCTGTAACTCTACAAGAAAAAAGGCCTTCTCCTATTTTCTTCAATGAATTTAGAAGGCCTTTAGATTGTATATATACAACAATCATTGGATTGGGGGACTATTTTCACCGCCTTGAGAATGCCACCAAGATCAGCATAGACATGGAGACCACAATTTTGAAACCAGAGGTTTCCCAGAAATTCTGGTTTTGCTTTTCCCCACCCGCGACTCCACTTTGCGGTTTTCCTGCTAATTGATCTCTCAATTCTTTTATAGCTTTGTCCCTTCTCTCCCCCATCTGTCCACAATCGCATACAAGTTTGTCATTTGACTAGCAAGCCTACACATGCATTGCAAGAGATATACTCCGTCCAAACACAATTTAGAACATTTTTTATAAATTTTATTTGGCCCAAAATATAAAACATTATACAACTTTTATAATTATTTTTTTAACTATATCTCTAATTCATTTATTATTTTTTTGAAAAAATTAATGCATTAGAATTTTAATTATCATTATCAAAACATTTATATAGAATATTTAATAAAAATAAATTTAGAAAGATGTAAATTTTTTTTGAGAAATTAAAGTTTTAATTAATATTTTTTTGCAAACTATAAATTGGTTAATAATATCCTATATTTTGATTCTGTGAGGGTATTCTGTAAGTGGGGTTAGATCATGAGCATAAATTGAAGCATCGCCACAGGAGAGCAAACAATTCAGGGCATTCATGTAAATTCACGAATCGTGTTTCTAATTGTGTTTCATTACCAGATTCTGGCGAAAAGAAAAGGACAGAAGAAATGAAAAGCTTAGCTATACCCGCTGTAGTTTCCGTGTCTGAGAACGAGTTTCCTGCAGACAGAATTCCAGTTTCAAAACCTTTTTCTTCAGTTCCTGATCGGCACGCCGCTGTTTCTCTAACTGTACTTCAAAAAAGATCAACGTCCTTAAATACAAAAGCAAGAAAACAAACCCCTGAATTAATGAATAAGAGGCGAGAACGAATGGCTTGTTTACCTGAGATTCTAATTCTTTAGTTTTGAGCTTCGAATGAGAAGAGATAATCTTAATTTCATCCTTTAGTTTCGCTATTTCTTCATCCTTAACTACCAGGAGCTTGTTTATTTTCTCAAAATTCCTCGGAGAAACCTCATCTAATATCTTCATCAGTTCACAGTCCTTGTTTGCTCCAGCATTTGTAACTGCCTCCATGATATCACGCTCAATTCTCAGGACCTCATCTTTCAAATGCTTTTGCGAGGATTCCCTTGCCTGAAGATCTTTCTGTAGATTATCTAGCTGCTCTCCCAGCCTAGTTACGCGATCCTCGTGCTCTTTCAGTGAACTATTTTTCTCATCTAACTCTTTTACAAGTTCCAAACATCGGAGCTGTGCTGATTGAGCTGATGCAGCACTTGCGTCTGCCGTTGCTCTTGTTGCTGCAAACTGTGTTCTAAGATCATCCAGGTCCTTCAGATACTGCATGAGTATTACATAATATATTTAGGGATAAATGGAAACAGTGTTAATGCTTGGGGAGGTTTTGAATATGCACTAAGATCCCCTGTAAATTCTTTCAATGTTGAGAATAAAAAGTTGCCACCATATTCAAATGCAGTATATTTTACACCGAAGCTTCTCCGTTGAATATCTTAGCATCTAAGTAGCTAAAGGCAAAGTCCACGAGAGAAAAGAGAAACATTTTACGATCACTCAATCAAAATCTTTATAAAATCATCATAACAGAAATGGGCATAGTATATCATTGCATGTAACAAACAAAAGTGTATTAACTTGCCATCGGCCAATGTGCCAAAAATTACTAATTTCAGACAGCACTAGTCCCCGTAGCACATCAAATTTTCCATTTTAGACGCATCAATCAATTTAATTCCTAAATTTCAACACATCATTTTATTAAATTAAAATCAAAGGAAGAAATAATTAAACTTCCTCTGTGAAGCAAATTTGAAACTTGGGATTCTCGCACAGCAGAAATGAAGCATGCAAAACTATCGTAACACAAAATCACAAGTTGAATTTTAGTTATTTATAGTAATAATTATGTCAGGTCATTAAAGATGTATAATACTTGGCTCCGCCAATAGCATTAGAATTTAGAATTTAGAATTAAATTCCTTAAACTTATACAGATAAAACATCAAGCGGTGCAAAAAAATACAGATTAAAAAAAAAAAAACAAGTGGTAGACTATCATACCGGAAAATTATATCCGGACCTGGATTAATATAATCAAGGGAATTGTTCACCTCAGTGCCTTTCCAGCCAAGAAAAGCAATGATGAACCGCTCCCAGCATATCTAAATTTGCAAGGTTGCTTCTAAGTTCTAATAATATAATAAAACAATCAACGTTCTACATTACAGGAATTAGAATGTCATAAACAAAAAACATTCTTAAAATAATGACAAAATTAATAAAAATTATATAAAAGAAGTCAGACGCCCTTTAATTTCATGGGCTCCGCCTAAACCAGAGAAAAAGTCGAAAAAATTGGAGTAGAAGATGGGTCGTGAAGTTGGAGTATTTGTATGAGATAATCTGAATAAAATGTGAGAAATCGAACGACATAATTTGAGAGACATGTGATGATTTAAAATCAAGAAACTAAATATAACAGTGACACTACTAATCAGAGAGAAAGGAAATAAAAAGATGTAGAGAAAACGTTAAATAAATTGAACATGATTATAACCTTCTCCGCAGCAGCGGCAGAAACATGAAGCTGATCGTTTCTCTCTTCTAATCTTTTCTGCAATTTACCAATTTCCTCTTCCATGTTCTTGGCTTTCATCTCTGCCTCCTGTGATTAAATACCCCAACAAAAATTACCCAAATAAAATAGGTGACTAACTGCGAGCCCCACCAACAAAAAGACTCCAAAAGGAGAAATTATTGAAATCAAGAGGAAGACAAGGGTTCAAAGGTGCAAAAAGACAGAAAGCAATCGAAAAAGAATAGCACAGGGATTATCGTACTTGTCTTGTTAGGGTTTCTTTAGCATATGACTGCTCTTGTGATGCAAGGCGGCTCCTAACCTCCTTCAACTCTGCAGCTAATGACACGACGTTGCGCCTAAAGCTCTGCTTTTTCTCATTTAAATCCTTCAACAAGGGATCAATATCTCGAGCCGGTATGGATGTCAGAGTCAAAGATCGAGACGAAGACGGATCCTCGGAAGTTGGCATGGGAGATCCAAATTTTAATTCCAGCAACCTATTACTACGATAATACGATCATAAGCGTACATACACCGAATCCAGTCCTATGACCCAGAGATCAGCGGTTTATGGCCCTCAGAATGAAAGCAATTAAGCTTCATCCCTACACGTGAACCAGGTACTTGTGCATTAAATTTCAATGGACCCGAAGGACAAATCAACAGTTTGGTTTATTTAAAAAAATAACAAGAGATATAAGGTGATGGGATGAAAAGCGCTAGAACTTTTTTGAACTAAGGGACTTTTCAGCTTTTCAAACCGGAAGCAAAGCGAATTTAAAGCGAACTTGTCTACTAGATATTGATTTGTTTGAGGAATTGATTCCAGGAAGATACTAGGCTAATATTTCCTGGCGTACAAGATCCCAGCAGTCCACCTTTACCATTATTAAGAAAGACAGAAAAATAGTGTCTCGAGATGGGTCTATCTGTCAACGTCGAATAGTAAATAATAATGAAGTGGGTCAATAGAAAGACAGGTCGAAATTAAGGGGTTGAGGCATGTGAAGGAGCTTCGAAGGTGTTTAAACCGAACATTCAAGCTCGAACCAGGTTTCAGAGTACCCCCACCCTCGAATTCCCGAAAATCCACTTCAGCGGGAAAAAATACCCGAGAGGAGAGATTTCGAGGAAGCTGATCCAGGGAAGCTTGAAAAGTGGTTCTCAAACAAACCAAGTCGTATAGTCATGCGACAATCAGAGAGTAGAAATGATCAATACCAGGCGGTAAGCAGAACCAGCAAGGAACCAAGACCTTCGCGTTCGAACTCGGATCTTTGTCCCGACATCAGGTCTCTGATTTTGAGCTACGACGATAACGGCGAAGAAGCAGCAAGGATGGCGGAAGGGACAGCCTTGGTAGGAGATAACGTGAATTAAGCAGGGGGGATGCGATCGGAAGAGAATATAGAAATGGAGAACGAGAATCGGAAGCAAATAAGGCGTGACTTGAGGAAATTGGTATTTAATTATGAAGTTGCTATAATAATCTGGTTGTCTTATCTGCAGGTGATAGTAGGGGAGAAGGTGGGCCTTATGGCAAGCATAAGCTATGGAGGGAGGCTGGGAATGAGTTTTGGTTCGGATTAGAGGTTTGGGCAGTGAAAGCGAAGTGTGGGGTTTGAAACTTGAAAGGTTAGGAATACCTAGGGGAAGATGACAAAATCCGAAGCAACAGCTGGTATTTGATGGTTTTGAGTTTTGACCCCACCGATGGCAAGCGCGGCAAATACAAATTTGGGCTGGGCCTATTGCTACTCAACACGTGTACACACATTGGACGCTCATGTCACCGTCGCAGCAGTTCGAAGCCACGTATGACCTGTTGATGTCCCTAGAATCACTTATGAAATTTAAAATTATGATTTTAGAAAAAAAATCAGTTTAAACACTTCTAATTTTTTTTCAAGTTTATTTGGTTTTGAAATTCATTTTATAAAATTGGGAGAATCACATCCAAAGACTTTTAAAAAAATTATTTATAAATAAAAATTAACAATAAGTCTCATTTAAAAAATAAGTTATATTTTTATTTTAATAACAATTCATTTTGTATTGTCCTTATTTGTGAATAATTTTCTTAAAGAGTTTTTGGATGTGATTCTCCTTATCAAATTTAGCCAAATATTTTTTTTATTTTTTTCAAATTTCATTTAGTGCTTGAAATCTCATTTTATAGAAGCTAAATTTTCTTTCATTTGGTAAATCAATTTTACAAGATTAATTTCAAAAAATCTTATCCAAATATGTATTCTTTTAGTTAATTTTTTCTAATTGAAATCTAAAAACACTCATAATTTGAACCTTGTAAAGTAAAACTTATTTCATGTGATATGTTAATGACTAAAAAAAGGGATCATGTATTGTATGTGGTATACCAAATAACATGACTCGCCCATTTTTTGGGTAAAACACAAGGGTTCACATCTAGTTTGATTAAAAAATAAAAATTAAGGAGAATTGCACCTAGGGTTTCTATATTAGAGTAATTTGCAATTAAGGCTCAATACATTTTAAATTTATTCTGCAAGCCTAATGACTTTAGATGCAATCATGTTTTAGTGAGGAAAAAGATGCATCTACTCTTAATGAATGAGAAGGAGAATGAGCTAGAATTAGAGAAGACAAAGGCACGTGAAGAAGGAAGAAGGTAGCCAACTACATGGATTGTAACTATCCCAACTTCAATTCTAACTAGACTAACTCGCAAGGTGGGGTGAAAGTCAAAATGCATCCATTTTAACTAGTGACAGTGTGTAAATTTTTCTACATATCGTGGTATGTTGTGACTAATGTTATGGTCATCATTTTTCTATTGAAATAAGAAATAGCCAAAGTTGGAGAAAGGAGCTTGATGATATAAGTGAAAGTCCCTTGTCTGCAGAAGCCTAGTAAGGTAAGTTGAAATGATTGGTTTAAATGGGGTAGTTTTCTTGCATATTAGTTTCTTGCTAAATGTTGATAAGGATTCAACCTTTTGATTCTGATATAATGTAAAAACAGTTGCAATTAATGAGGATTTTACATGAATAATAGGGTGTGTATGTGATAGATTATCTATGGTATAAATGCACGGTAATGCTTTTGAAATCAGACATTCTATTGTGATTTAATTCCTACTATAATATGACTTAGTTGCTGAATTGTAAGTTGGTTTTGAATGTGTTGAATTGGAATATTTATTGTGAAATCATGTTTGTTTACCTATTCATATTGGATCTTTGCATGTGAATGAGGAATTCAAATTTATTCAATATGATAAAAATGCCCTACTAGAAACACTAGTTTTTTTTTTGTGAAAACAAGAACGTTGGCTTATCTTATATTAAATGTTTAGTTGGGTAAAATAATTGGTTTTCTGTATGTGGATATTTTTCTTAATCTAATTTGTTCATTTTAGATTAATACAAGATACGGCAAGTAGTTCTACAAACAATTTTGTTTTGTTTCTTCTATCATGCGTGTTAATTTGTGAGCACTGTTAAGAGTAGTACAAAGTATGAGGGTGAGGATGTAATTACAATAACCATGATAGAATGAATGATGTATGCAAAGTTTAGGTCATTATATTATTAAAAGTTTGTCGTGGAGACAACGAAAGTGACATAAGTTCACAATTGACATTAATTCAGACACATTAATATATCTTGTAGATTATGTTAAAATATAACAATTGTTTGAGTTTAATGGCATAGGATGCATGTATAGATGATCTGCAAGAGTAAATGTGCACATTCATGTGAATTGAGAAATTCATGACCTTTTTAATATCATGAGAATGCCATATTTAGAAACACTGAATCATGTGACATGAAAAATGAACATTAACTTATTTATCTTAAATATTTAGTTGTTTAATGCAAAGCTTTAATCATATGATAATAATTTAATAATACACGATAGATCGTTTATTGGCATTCTCATATGAAAGTTCTCCGTCTTCACAGTATTGGGATATACCTTACTTTAGAAAAAGCATGCTAACAATCATTGTAGAAGATAGTTCAGCCATCCAATGCCTTCCTACCCTTGTTCCATGAATGAATGCTTGCAAGTAGCAGTTATTTTTTTAATTGTATATGGACCAATAATCTTTTATTGTTTTGGACATAGGTTCTCACTTTTTGTACATACCAAGCATGAAATGTGATGTAAAATTTCACATTGATACTTATTTCAATAAAATGTCCGATATCAGCATGAAATTATCTAAATCTAATGTAAATGTTAAAGCATGTTATTATTTACAAGTTTATATTGTATAAATATTGCAGTCTTGTATATGTTCAAGTATCTGATATATATGTACATTATATTGTCAATAAATAGATGTTGTCAGGTTATATATGAATTTTCCTTTGTTCATGAACTGAAAACTCATGCAAATGTTCAACTTAACCAACAAACTATGTGGAATAAATAGACATTATATGTTTGTAAATGACCTATGTCATGTTATATATAGACTTTTTATTATGTTTATAAACCCAAGAAACTTGTATAAATTAATGTTCAGCTTAAACACACGAAACCATGTGAAATAATTATGCATTTTATTGTTAATAAAAGGACCATCTCATGTTATATATAAACTTTATATTATTCATAAACTTGAAAAACTTATATAAATGTTTAACTTAACCACGTGGATCATGTAAAATAAATGAACAAGTATGGGGTTAATAAATAGACGCTGTCCACGTTATAGGCTTTATATGGCTCATAAACTTGTGGAAACGTGTACTTTTCACTGTAAATAATTTCATTCACAACCATAACAAGTATTCTTCAAGCATACACTACAGTGTTTGCCATACATCCATTTACCGAAAAAACCAATTCTATATACAAAAAACTAACTTAGATAGCAAAGACATAATCCAATAGTAATACTAATTACATTCTAATGCTTTGGCTCTTGCTATAAGTGTAAGGGCACTATAAGCTCTGACATTATTGGAATGCTTTGCTAGTAAGCACAAAATGTCACACCTAATGCTCAATAGTTCTTAGATTGTATATTCAGGCATGTAAATGAAGATTATCAACATTCATAGTAGTGTTCCAACTTTTAAATCCACATAATGACATGATGTTCACAGTCATCAAAGTCTTACACAAATTAGTGAAGTTCATAAATTTATAATTTAAAGGCTTGATATTCACAAGTACAAGTTTATATGTTACAAGTAAAAGTTTATATCTTAACAAGCAAAAGTTTAAAGTTGATATGTTGACAAAGTTTACAAATTTATAATAAACGAACAAGTTTTTTTAAGTATATGTTCAACTATTTACAAGTCAAGTCTATAGTTTTCAACTTTAGATATTCATAGCTCAGTGATAGTAAATTTCTATTTTTATAACTACATGTTCATATATTCACAACACTAGGTTCACACGTTAACAAGTGATTGTTCATTTTTTGAGTAACTCCATACTTTTTAAATAGTAAATTCTTGTTGAGAGTTGACAAGTTCATGTGTGGCAAAGCTTACAAATTACAACTAAATATTCAATATTCACGAGTAGATGTTAAGCGATTATAAGCTAAAGTCCTTATACTTTAGATATTCACAATGAAGGTTTGGTGACAGTAAATTTTCATTTTTACACATTACATGTTCACCATTTAAAGATTTAAGTCAGATTCATGCCATCTCATAAAGGATGGATCTTTTTTTTGGTTGTTTCTCCTTAACAACTATTTTATACAACCCAAAACAAATTAGCAATGCAATCAATGTCAACAACTAGTACATCACATAATTAATTACTTGGATTTTGTCAACTGTAAGTTCACATATTAACAAAAAAATATTCACATGTTGACGAATTCAAGTTCAAATATTTATAAGTAAAAGTCATATGCACAAGCAAAAATTTGAAATTGATCAAAATAATAATTCATCTCTTGTTGAGCTTATAATGAACAAATAATATAAGAAATATTCACATATAAAAATTTAACTTTTATCTTTCACAACTGATTATTCATATAAAAAAAAGAAATATATTATGTTTTTCACAATACATAATCTAATATTTTTGATTGGGCATTTTCATGATAATAGACAGGTCATGTGTAACACTCTCCCCAATTAATTCAAAAACTTAAGCAACCTTAATCATGATAATAAAATTAAAGTTTTACATGTATTTAAGAGATTATCATGATAAAAGAATGAAAATTTTTTTATAAAAACTAATTATAGTACAAAAAGAATAAACTAATTAATTGAAAACTTTCTATAGTTAAAAGAATCAACTTTTTTCTTCCAATTCCAAAATAAACCTATCAAGATAGAAAAAAGTTCTATCATGGTAAATATAATCAAACTTCTCTAAAATAGTTTTAGAAACATTTAGGACTCTATTATGGTATACAAGAGAAATAAACTTAATTAAAAAAATACCATAGTAGAAAGAGCTAGACTAGTAATGAAACATCTACAAGCTAATCATGACAAAGAGGAAGACTCATATCAAAGTCTACCATGGTTAGTGGAAAAAATTTACTCAACACACTTTTCAAATATACATAT